GTGGCAAGCGCTTTGGATTTGATGATGACACGAAAAATGCTGTGGAGTCGTGGTTATCGAAACTGGCGGGAAGTTTCTTTGATGATGGTATACAAAAACTGGTCACCTGCTATGACAAGCGTTTGATCATTGGCAGAAACTATGTTGAAAAATAGTTTAAGACATGCATTTTCATGTAAAAATAAAATTGGATTCGAAAAAATTGTTTTACTATTTTTTTTTTTTCAAAACGGTACTTAGTTTCTGAATACACATCATGTTAGAGTTTCAACAGAGTTTGTTGAAAAAATTCAGTCCTAAAATCAACACATTAATCAATATACAAAGTGTATGAGAAAGAACAAATGAAAAAAGATAAGCACATATCTGGAATTAACATTTTTATCATGTTGTGGCTTACACAGCTGGAAAGAATTCAAAAAGTTTTATACCTTTAGCTGAGCACCATTTGTAGCTTGCATAATGTTGAGGTGATAACTCTGTCTCATTTCACGCATTTGAAAGCAACACTGGTGTGACCTAGTACTATCATTTCCATAATTTGGGCATGCAAATGTAAAGAAATCAAGTCTGCTCTGCACCGATTTCATTAAATAATACTATTTTATACGTCCTTTTTCCAGCTCTATAAACCACAATACAATAACATACTAACTTTGGATATGCATAGTATTCTTTACATCACTTTTTTCCCAAACACTCAGCATACAATATTAACCCTATAAATCTGTAATAATAACAGAAAAAGTTTATCTGTGTGCGTGTTGTGTTCCAGTTATGCACAGGAAGGAAGCAAAGCTCAGGATATCTTACTTCAGGGAAGTTTATGGTTACCTTGAAATAATTTTCATAGATTCAATGTATACTTCTTTTAACCCTCTAAGTGCCATGACCGACTTTATCCGGTCATGAGATTTTTTTGTGACTTGTTATATACTAGCTTATAATTTAAGATATTTTGCTTTTTTACTTTCATTAATAATATAAATGCATTTTAATGACTGTAAGTTTACAGGGTTCGTACAGATTTCTGTACAAGGAAATTAAGTACTTTTAAGGACCATTAATGAAAAAAATTAAGGACCTATGAGCAAACGGGAACTGAATAAATTCAATTGAAGATATTATCTATGCCTGAATTTCACTTTTGTAATACCATCCTAAAAATAAAATAAATCCCTAAGTAGTACGCATTATTACTAAACATGAATTAATTAACATAATTGTTAATAAGTTTGAGAATAAAATAAACTATGCAATTTAACAAGTAGCATTAAATATTTTACACTTATGATAGTTGGTCATATTTGAATGTATATATTGATTTCCTTCTCTTTTAAGCATCTTTTCTAACAATTAGAGATTTGTCTCAATATGCAAACCAATGCTCTCACTAGTTTCTGAATGCTTCATCTCCTAACTTATCAACCTCTCCCATAATGTACCTATGGAGGGTTTAATTGATCTGGTAAAAGTTAAATAGTCCAAAACGCCCGACAGACGTGAAGCATATTATCGCTATGTCTGAAATTAACCACAATATCAGACAAAGGTTTAAATAAGCCTCTTATTTAAAAAGAACTTAGAACATAAAGGTATGTTTTGAAGCTAACAAAATCAATTACAGCTCACGGTGACGTAATTAAACAAGAACAGTCAAATTCAAACTAATAATGTGGACTAGTGGTCAAAAATATACAATTTAATTGTAATTTAATTTGGCTCAATAACTCTATCATATGTAGAAATAGAAATTGGAAATTATAGTAAAGGTTGAAATCATAAACAATTGGGTAATTTACATAATAATAACTGCACATATCTTTGAAGAATAATTTCCTTTATGTACTCAGTTCCTTTTTTCAACACGTTTCCTTTTCATTTTAAAATTTTTGAATTTAATTAAGGATTTCCGTTATTCTAAAAAACACTAAATGCATTTAGAATGTACAGAAAAAACGGCTAATTTTATTTCTTTAGTAATATGAACATTCAGAAGCAATATGAAATATATATAGTAAAGGATGGTTACAGAGCTGATGTGGCAGAATTTCTAGAATTCAGTGACACACCGAACAACAAAATCTAGAAATGGCAGAAGTTTTAGAATTTAGAGCAAGCATTGGAAGCAGAATTTAGAAAGGCAGTATGCAGCAGAATTTAGGATCCACAGAGATTGCATCAGGTGGGAAAATGCCTAGTGCAAGCTATGTGTATGATGCATTAAGAAATATTAGATGAATCTTTCAAACTGTAAGTTTTCAATTTCTTTATTAATAAAAAAATTCCTTTCTATAATGCCTGCCTATGTGATAAGATCAGAAGCATTTTTGATATTTTCCATGCTTCTGTCTAGTGAAAAGTAGAGAAACTAAAGAGAAGATAAACATGTTAAGATTCTAGTATCAGAAGTAATACATTCAAATATTATGTTTTTATTGTTCTTCCAGATGTTCTCCCAAAATTAAGAAATTTTTCTGTAAAATACATCCACTATGTGTTGATAATATGGAGACATTTTTCATTTTGTCACATATTTCCCGAATCTTCTAGAATTGTGAGTCTATAAATCTTGCCTTCAAATCCTTTTAAACTTTCCAAGCTGCAATGTCTAAAATCCTAAAGAAAAATTATCCATACCATTTCTGTAACAGGAAAAAAAAAAAAAAAAAAAAAGCCAGAAATATGGAGAAAAGTAGGAGGAAAGTATAAAATTAATTTTATGGAGAAAACTGATGCACATTCTGAGAAATTTTGAATATTCTGAGACAATTACATGGGGAAAACTCTTACTATGAAAAAATTAAAAACAAGACATTTTTAATTAATTACATAGCTAATTTTGCTTTTGCTAAGAGCTGTTTCGTAAATTATGCTTTATAGCATTATACATTCTTTATTTTTCAGATTTAAAATATTGTATAAGTTGCCAAAATAAAACTTTATAATATGACAATGAAAAATAAAAATGTTTTATTTTAATGTTATTTTTTAAATATAATTTCAATATATTACCATTATTTTAATAAAATTTATCAATGTTACGATGTTTTAAAAAAAATTGTCGAAAAATTCTCAGATTTTGGAATTAAAAAGTTTCTATATAAACTAATCTTAAAATCGCCAAAATGTTGAAAAGTCGCCAAATTTAGAACCGTTTAATAAATGAATTCACATCCCCAAAAGCAAAAAGTTGTTTAAGAGCTTTTTACTAGAAAAAATGAATTTCGAAATGCTTATGTTTCATTTCTTGCTTAGAAACTTGAGTATCCCATCATTTATATTAGAAATAGAAACAAATTATAACTCATGAACCCATTCAAAAGATTACCATATATAAGGCAGTGAATCGCCAAAAATATTCCTCAAAATGCTAATTCACACTCAAAATGACAGTCGTAAAAACAGACGGAAATTTCAGATGATTAAAATTAAGGACCTTCTGTTGATTTTGGCCAAAATTAAGGACTTTTAAGGACCAAAAATCGATTCCAAAAAATCTAAGGACTTTTAAGGACTCTTAAGGACCATACGAACCCTGGTTTATGAAAATAGAGACTAAAATAGGTAAATGTACATATTTAGCTAATAAAGGCTCTTTAACCTTTTCACGATGGCGAACCTTTGTTTAAGACGTTCGTGCGGGACGGAAGGGAATCGAAGGCAGTCACTGTACAGGACAGATCGCTAAGCCTAATTTTATAAAAAAAATCAGAAAAAAAAAAAAAAAAAAAAAGTTTCACTTCTAGCATCGTAATTTTTGGTATCCTTTTAGATTATTACTTGAGCTCTTATATATGTTAAAATTAGCATTTAATAGTGTTTTTTTCTTTATTTTACATGGAAATATACTTAAAAACTTTCTTTCTTCTAAAATAAGTTTCGGAAGCGCTATTCAAATTATTCTAAAGTTATAATTGATAAAATTAACCAATAAAGTTTAAAATTAATAAAACAACACAATAAAGACTATTTACAGTAAGAAGTAACAAAACTTAAAATGAAGCCTGTGTGTGGTAAATCTCAAAGCATGGAGAAGTATCACTTTAGAAAAAGTATCACTTTCTAAATCTTTAAAAAAAGAATCATCACTCATATCTGTGTTAGTAAATGCGCCTTCCTGCCATAATAGACTGGAGGTGAGGCTTTCCAAAATAAAAAGAGAAGAAACGGAAATACATCTGAAGGCAATGCAAAATGTAACAGAACTCCACATATTAACCCTAAAAGACCATATAGAATAGAATAAAAAAGGAATTGGATATAAAACAGACATGCGAATATTTATATTAGCATGCAATTTTAAAGAGCCCACTTCTATTTACGCTTTTCCTCCTCCCCCCACCATCGCAACAGTTGATGAGTAAAATACCAAAGTCAGACAGACTATATCAAACTCAAGGTCAGGAACCTAAAACTGTGTTCATTTCAAAAGTAGACATAGAATGCCATCTAGTGTCCTTCAGAAAAACGTTCCAGCTTAAAATGCGTATACGCACGACCCATCCTCTGAATGCAATGTCTAGCGATGTGTGGATGGGACGCCCGGCTGTAAGAGACATTCTTAGGGAATGCGTATATGGGACGCCCGTCTTGAAAGGGTTAAATAAGGTCTTCATGACAGATCAAAAAACACAGACAGCTCAGAGGTTTAAAAATAGTTTCTTTTATTACTTTGTCTCAGACATTCCCAATTAATAATTAATTATCATGGAATTTGAATTTTTGTATCATCAGACATCAGAAAATAATCCTCCCCATTTTGGTAGAAGAATGGTGTGCTATTATAAAAATATAAACTAAACAAATTAAAGGTTACTTTTATTTGACATGTTTGCTCAGAAGCATTATGTGTTTTCCCTATCTACCAATTAAAAGATTAAGCATACAACATATAATACTAAACAGCAAGATTTTTATTAAAACGAATATCTTGATTATTTTCAAAATGTAATTTAATAGGGAAATGTTTTAAAAAAAGTATTCAATGTATAACTTACAGAAAGTGAATTTTCGGCCAGCACTTTAACCTTTGAGACCAGCTCTTCAGGTACAAGTTTAGCTTCAAGAACGTGATTTATTAATCCTATAGTATGGGCTTCTTGAGCAGTTAATATTCGACCCCTCAAAAGCAAATCCATCGCCTGCAATAAAATCATATTTGTTTTTCAAACAAATAATTATACATTATGAAATAAAGATTTATTTAAAAAATGCATTAAAATGTTCACTTTTTAAAATAAAAATATATAACTAACTAAACAGTCTGTTTTGAAACTCTTATTTTAAGCAGCTAGCATCATCAACCTCTGATGATTTGGTGGCTAAAGAAACAGAATGTAAGTACAATAACAAACCATTTACACACATCTTATTTATATGTCTTTTCATTTCAGTCTCCATCGATTTCTATTCATGCTAATATATTCCATTTATATGATCTATGATTATGTCTTTGGTTGAAATATCAACCATTTTTTCCACAGTTCAAACAGTTTCCCTGAAAGTCATTTTTTTCTTTCAACAGTATTTGGAAGTTGTACATTGGAATATGATGAGTTTAACCCTCTACATGTTATGAGCAGTGTTATTTATAACCCTCCATGAGTAATGGCCTCCAAGTGTTTTCTTGATTACAATTAGAAAATGATGCTCTCACTTTGTACCTTTATTCCTTTTATTTGAATATATATGCAACCTGAAATTGGATACATTAAAAGCTGGTGAAATTTTCAGTGTGTAATGAATATGAAAGCCATGATCTCATGAGGAATTTTCCATCCATAACGGTGACAGGGTTAAAAAAAAGTACATGAGATATTTCAAACTGAAAAGAAGTTCATAGCAATTAGCTAGATGGAAGGGGAAGACCATTTTGAAGTGACAGAGCAGATTATAGTCTGCTACTTTTAAACAGAAACTTCAAACTTGAAAGTTTGACAAAATTGCCAAAAATCCCCCCCCCCCCGCCGACAAAATGCCAAAAAATCGTTTGACAAAATATGATTAAAAATGCCAATGTCTGTTTGCACAGACACTATTTGCGGGGGCAGGAAACTTTCATTAAAACCCAATATTATGAAATCTTTATTAGCATTCAATAATTTTTAATCAGACAGATGAATAAGCAATTTCTTAGCATGCTTTCTGAAAATGTACTTGCATAATTTTATTTAATATTTCTATAATGTAAATTATTTTGTGACTAACAACAAAAGCATCATTAATAGTATTTTAATGCAAAAACAATTCTTCTTAAATGTAGACATTTATCAATGCTTATTGTCGATGGGTTACTATTTACGTATATTCAAAAACTGCTAAAAATTTAATTACACTTAATGTACATATGATTAAAAAATTAGTTTATGCTTATGTTTTACGCATACTATAATTTAGTTTAGTGTGCCATAGTTATATTATTAGTTTAGATATAAATGCATATAACTTCATAACTACCAATTAAAAGATTAAAACTCGGCTCACATAATCTAATTCACAATTCTTCAAAGTTGTTTTTTTTTTTTTTTTTTTAATTTTTATTTTTGAGCAAATGCTTATGAAGTGAAGGCTGAATAAGACACTCTGACAGCTAAAGACCAGCAAGCGAACCCAGATATATGATCAGGCTCTTCCGATTTCAGGTGCAAGAAGTCGAAGAACCAGCCCTTTAGCTTTGCATGCAGACAAAATCAATAAAACACTGTGACATCTGAAACTATTAATAGTGCACTTGCAAATCATTCACTGTTAAATTTTATGACTGTGAACAATACAAAACATGTATTGCTCAATTTATCAACTATAAATAATTTCTCCTGACTTTTTGTATTACTAGACGATTGTGTGGCTAGACCCTGATTTAAAAAATATATATATAATTACAAAAAATTCTTTTTAAAACAAAACACAAACATGCCTGGTATTTTCATGCATTAAGCTGCAGAAAAATTACCATCAAAGACATAAAGTAAGAAATTTAGAACTAATATTTCACAAAGACCAGAAATTGAAATTCATAATTAATAAATTTCAAATATTCATATAAATGCAACAAAGAATTTTAAATGTTAAAACCAAAACATTTCAAACAAGCAAAATCTCAAAAAATTTATGAAGTTTAATGAAAATGAACGAAAATAGAGAGGAATTCAATTAATCTCAATGTAACTTTATCAGGGGAGAGGAACTTTGAAATTAACCAAAATCTCTCTTCTACAAAAATCCTTGCCTTTCTGTATCCAGAATTAGCCGATTGCTGGATGAAACATAAAAATATTTTAATTTGTATGCAAGCAACACATTTCTTTTATACAGCCTAATTTCTTGATCAATCTGAAAGAAAAATATATTGCGTTTTGCCAGGTATTAACACAGTTCTTTTATATTGCGGAGTTGTCCAATTAAATTTGAAATATAAGTGTACATTTTGCTGAGTGGCAATGCAAAACTTTTATATTATTGCATACTTGCCAACCTACAACACTGAAAAATAAGGAAATATTTTTTTAAGAAACGAGGAGAATTTTCTCAACAACAAACACACTTTTTATATAATAAAAAAATATAGAAAGAAAATATACTTTTTAATAATAAATTAACTTTTAGATAGTAACTAATCAATATCTGAAAAATTTACTAAGACTTAAATTCAAATATTAGAAAAATATTTACATGTAAAAAACACTTTTATTATTTATATATTTTAATAGATAAATAATCTCTACATATAATAAAAAGAGTCTCTGTATGTGTGTGTGTCTTTCGTTCGCGCTGCGTGTAAGCTAATAGAACGCACGACTACGAAATTTGGTACATAGGTGCATCTTAGACCAAGAGCCAGTGCACCTCGAAAGCGATTTTTTCGAAATTTGAATTAGAATATTTTTTATTTTATGTTTTGTGACGAAATCGCGTCATTATTCTTGTGTAGCTCAAATTTTGAATAATTACAAATTAAAATTTTGAATTTTATAAATCACTTAATTATATTAAATTCGCTATACAACATTCTTTTCAAAATTTGAGCTACACAACAATTTTGAGACATAATGGGCTATAGGAAAGCGAGATTTTACTCCACACACTCCATTTTCACATTGTCATGAAACGCAGGCACTTAGCTATTATACAAACTTAAAATAAATTTTGTGTTTCAATAAATCGATTAAATACGAATTTATTTAACAAAAGGAGCTTAACACCTTTTCAACGGGATTTTTTCTAAAATAGTTTATTTTTATTTGATTTTTAGACACATTAAACTTTTATCCTTGCGACTGCTTTTACAGAAAGAATTTTGGAAAAATGATATTTGTATTTTTAAAGAATTTTTTTAATGAAGCTTCTGAGTACACTTCTCACATCTTTAAAAATGTGATTTTGGGAAAAATTTTTCTGTCTTATTGTTGTTGATAGATTTTTGATGAAATCGCATAATTTTGAATAGTTTCATTCTTTTAGAAATATGGGTTTGGCAACAATTTTTCATCGTATTTCTTTTGTCATTGTTTTTACGAGATTGGCATATTTCATTTTCATTTTTATATATAATACATTTTTTATGATTATTATTTTTTATTTATTTTTTTGATAAAGTTGTTGTTCGGCAGAGTAAATTCTCACGGAGATGTTTTTGAGTTGCTTTCATGTTATTTTTTTCTTTCATTTCATGTTTGCAAGATAATGAAAAGTTTTGCATGATTTTTTTTTCAATTTAATTTTAATTAATATTTGCATTTTATATGATAGGTATTTCATTGTAATCTTTTTTGAATATATAAGATAAAATATCATTAACTATACTTTATATATATACTTGCTTTACAAAAAATTTTTTTTTTTTTAAAATTCTTTTATGTTATTTATTGCTCATTTCACTGTTTTTAAGATATTGAAAAGTTTTGAGTGATTTTTTTTAGGAAACAAAGTTCTTAACCTCCTTTATACCATTTGAGTTCTTGAGATTTTGCAAAGAGAAATTTGTTTATTAGGATAATTAATATTTGTATTAAGGGATATTGCTTATTTCATTGTAATTTTGTTATACGTAATAACTTTTTTTTATGAAGTTGTTCTGCAGAGTAAAATTCTACACAGGTTTTAAATTTAATGTTTGGTGTTGCCTTCAGCCATTTTTCCGGTACATTTAAAAGCCAGACAAAGGCTGGCAGCGGAGCTGCTGGTACTTTAATAAGTTTTTGTACAAATGCTAAGAAAAGTGGCAGATTTTGCTTTCATTATGAAAGAAACTCTTTATAATGAAAGGTCTGCTTTTGCTAATAAAAGTTTGTCTTATGTGTCATTACTAATATTATTGGAACTAAATTTAGTCTTTGTATTAGAAACACTGAAAATCCTGTTACACTCTGCATTACTATGGTGCAATGTCAGGATGGCTAAAATTATTCTAGACATTTTACTGTACTTTGCATTCCTACAGTAAATTGTTAAATTGTCAATCAAGTTGCCCAAAATTATTCTGGACAGTTCGCTGTACTTGAAAACTCCATCAGCACCTTTCAGTTTTCCAACTAACTACATGAAAGTGTCAATCCATGCAGCAGCTGTTATACTTTTATCCAAGTTTATATGTTGTAACTCTAGAAGCATTTACGTCTTTAAAAAATGTAAAAAGTGGGTTCCATTGGTGGAGGAATTTAGATAAACATTTCTCTAAAGATAACAGTGTGTATATATTCGTTTCTTATTTCAATTTTCCCTTCCTTTTATAACTCTTTTCAAGATAATAATAAATATCAACAATGTGTTTATTCACTCTTATTAGCAAAGAAGCTGTCATTTTTTCAACTGCTTTATTTAAGAGGTGACAAGTGCAGCTAATAATTCGCAAATCTGAATTTTCTTTTATTAAGATGGCAGTAACAACAGTCTCCAAGCCTACCAACTGGTGCAATGTTGACACTAAATGCTAAGCAATTATCCATACAAAATTTCTTTTTAAGTTTTATATAAGTACGTACTTTATAACTTTCAATATAGCCTTTAATTTTACAGTGTGCAATATTAAAACCTGTGCAATGTCCTTTTAAAGTGGGGACAGAAAGTAAACTACACTCAATTTCTGAAGATCTGGATTAGAGAAAGAAACAAGTGGATACAGTTTTGCTTAATAGGGCACTTT